TGTTTCCCTATTATTAGATAGTGTTTTAATTCCACTTCATTTTTCCCCATTCCCCTTACTCAATACTATTGTTACCTTCTTTGTTTTCTTTAAATATCAATGCTTATTTGTTTTACTAATATGTTTAGCAATTTCTTTGTTCTCCATTGGTTTCAATTCCCTTCTTACTGAAAGACAGGCATAGCCTGATAACTGATTCTTAGATTAACATTTCCCTGTTTTTAATTCCCAAACATCATAAAACTTATGTACTTCTAAGCACAATGTTTTTTGACTGATATATTTATAGAAGTTCATGTACATCTCCACATTTCATCAATATTTTAAACAAAACAAGATGCAAGAAGAGTCGAGGGTTTTATTTCAAATACAATTGGTAGGATGTCAGAACCATGGGAAAGCATGTGGAAAAGCCCGCTGACAGTCAGCAAAATGTATATCTCATGTGTTGGTGATGCTAAAGAGAAGCATCATGACATTACTCCAGACAAGTGTTTAATAGCCATAGTCACTGTATTCTGCTGAGGAAGTGATGCTTTAAGCATTTATTTATTTAATTATTTGATGGTTGTTATTTATTGTGTTAATAGTTTACTGTATTGACTTGCAGTTTAGGAAATCGTTAGTGATTTGGGGTTAGCATGTAATGAATTATAATTTTTCCCATTTGAAATAATCAAAAGTAGGCTTGGTAATATTTTCATTTAGAATGTCTGATTTTGGGGGAGGAATTACTGGAGTTAAATGGGCAATACATGTATATTTTTAAGTAGCGCTTTCATGGATTCCAATTTATTATTGGCAATTACTTCATTCTACTTTTACTCCTAAATAATTTAGCTGGGTACTCATTGTAGGTGAATTATTTTTTGCTTTCCACAATTTAATGATATTCCACCATCTTTTGGTATTGTTTTTGAGAATTCTATTCTCAATCTAACCATCATTTCTTTGTCGTTAATCTGTCTTTCTTCTCTGGATTCTTTTAATATTTTAGTTCCCAATATTTGCAAACTATTCATCTGACAAAGGATTAATAATCTGTATACATAAGGAACTCAAACAACTCAATAGCAAAAAACAAAACAAAACAAATAATCCAGTTTTAAAATGGGCAAAAGACCTGAATAGAAATTTATCAAAAGAAGACATACAAATGGCCAACACGTATATGAAAAAATGCTCAACATCACTAATCATCAAGGAAATGCAAATCAAAACCACAATGAGATATCATCTCACCCCAGTTAGAATGGCTATAATCAAAAAGACAAAAAATAACAAATGCTGGCAAGGATGCAGAGAAAGAGGAACACTTGTACACTATTAGTAGAAATGTAAAATAGTACAGCCATTATGAAAAACAGTATGGAGGTTCCTCAAAAAACTAAAAATAGAACTACCATATGATCCAGCAATCCCATTACTAGGTATATATCCAAAAGAAAGGAAATCAGTATATCTAAGAGATATCTGAACTATCACATTTATTGCAGCACTATTAATAATAGTCAAGGTGATGAATGGATAAAGAAAATGTGATACATATACATATATTTCTTTATATATATATATATAGGAATATTATTCAGTCATAAAAAATGAAATCCTGGCATTTGCAGCAACATGTATGAAACTGGAGGTTATTATATTCTGTGAGATAAGCCAGGCACAGAAAGGCAAATATTGCATGTTCTCATGCGTATGTGGGAACTGAAAAAGTGGATCTCTTGGAGATAGAGAGTAGAATGATGGGCCGGGTGTAGTGGCTCACACCTGTAATTCCAACACTTTGAGAAGCCAAGGCAGGCAGATGGCTTGAACCTATAAGTTCAAGACCAGCCTGAGTAACACGGCAAAAAAAAAAACTCCATAAAAAAATAAAAAAATTAACTGGGCATGGTGGCGCACGTCTGTAATCCCAGCTACTTAGGAAGCTGAGGTGGGAGGATTGTTTGAACCCAGGGTGCCAAGGCTACAGTGAGCCATGATCACACCACTGCACTCCAACCTGGGTGACTGAGTAAGACTTTGGAAAAAAAAACAAAAGGGGAGAGAGTAGAATGAGAATGGTGGTTACCAGAGGAAAGAGGGTAGAGAGGATGAAGAGAAATTGGTTAGTGCGTGCAAAAATACAGTTCAATAGAAGCAATAGGTTCTAGTATTCAATGGTGCAGTTTGAGAAATTATAGTGAATAATACCTTATTGCATATTTATAAATTGATAAAAGAATTGTAATGTTTCCAATACAAAAAGAAGATAAACATTTGAGGTGATTGATATCCCAATCACTCTGATTTTATCACTGCATACTATATACATGTATCAAAATATCACATGTATCCCCCAATATGTACAACTATGATATACCAATAAAAATACATATAAATAAAAATAAATAAAATATAGTTCTGCATGTTCTGCAGTTTTCATTCTGATGTGGCTAGATGTGGATTTATATTTACAGTAAGCCCTTGAATAAAGTGGGGGTTAGAGCACTGGCTCCCCAACCCCATGCAGTTGAAAATATGCATATGACTTCTGACTCCACAAAAACCTAACTACTAATAGCCTACTCTTGACCAGAAGCCTTACCAATAACATATCCAACTGAACACATATTTTGCATGTTATATGTATTACATACTGTATTCTTACAATAAAGTAAGCTATAGAAAAAAGTTATTAAAAATCATAAGGAAGAGAAAACATATTTACTATTCATTGAGTGGAGGTGGATCTCATAAAGGTCTTCATTTTTATCATCTTCATGTTGAGTAGCAGAAGAGAAGGAAGAGGAGGGGTTGGTCTTGCTGTATTGGGGTAGCAGAGGCGGAAGAGGAGGAGGAGGTGGAAGGGGAGGCAGGCACACTTAGTTTAAGTTTTATTGAGGAAAATCTGCATGTAAGTGGACCCACACAGTTCAAACCCATGTTGTTCAAGGGTCAACTGTATATTCTGCTTGAAATTCATTCATTCACTCGATATATACGTATTGTGCGTCTACTACTTGCTAGATCCAGGCACTAGGGATCAGCAGAGAGCAAATCAGACAAAGTCCCTGTGTTCATGCAGCTTACACTCTGGTGGGAGGAAATGGAAATTAACTGACAATCTCATGCAAATACAATTATGTCTGATAATGATAAGAGCTACGGAAAAAAATTAGGATATGGGGGTAGTGGGTGCTGGGAGAGTATTATGTATAAGGCGGTCAGGAGGCCTTTTTTGATAAGCTGATATTTGAGCAGATACCTGAAAAAAATGAGGACACCAACTATCTAAACATCTGGGGAAAGAGCATTGCGGCAGAGGATACAGCACAAGCACGAACCTGGAGGTCAAAGCATGCCTGGTGTGCTCAAGGAAGAGCACAAAAGCCAATGTGTCTGGACAGGAGAAGTGAGAGGGAGAATGGATCAGGTCAGACACATGGAGGGGTGAGTAATGCACATGGATCCTCCAGTCCCTCGCAAGGACTTTGGAAGGGTTCTGGGAAGCCACTAAACAGTCTTAAATAATAGAGTATGACATTTGTCTAAAAGGCTCACTGTGACTGCTGTGCAGAGAACAGACATTTTATTGTGTATGGGTGCAAGTAGGACAGCAGAACGATCAGTTGTAGACTACTGCAGTGCTCCAGAGGACAGATGATGGACCATGGCAGTAGTGATGAAGGCACTGAGAAATGGTCAAATTCTGGGTATCTTTTCAGGATAGAACTGGTGACGTTTGCTGAATTGGATGTGGGGTATGAGATAGAGAAGATACAAGCATCACATCAAATTCTTTGAACCAAATAACCGAAAGAATGAAAAAAATCATTTTATGACATGGGCAATTGTTAAGAACAGTATAGGTGGAGGGAGAGATGCAATGTCAGGGGTTTTCCTTTGAAGATGGTAAGTTTGAGACGTCTATCAGATGGTAAAATGGAGTTGTGGTATAGGAGGCTGGATACGGGAATCTGAATTTCAGAAAAAAGGTCCAGGTTGGAGAGAGCAATGTGGGAGTTGTTAGCATTAGGACTCACAGCCACAGGACTGGGAGGACATTGCCTTAGAGAGTAAGGAAGGAGCCCATGTCCTCAAAAACTTCATGTTTAAGGTCCAGAAGTAAAAAGGAACCAACAAGGAAACTGAAAAGGAACAACCAGAACAGTATGAGGAGAACCCAGAGAAAGTGGTCCCTAGAAGCCAAGTGAAGAAAATGTTTCCAAGAGGAGAAAGCACGCGACTCTGTCCAATGCTGCTGGTTGCACATCATGAAGATGGAGAATCGGCCACTGGATTTGGCAATGTGAGCATCCTCAGCAACCTTAATAAACTGTTCCTGTGTGGTGACCAGGATAAAATCCTGATTAGAGGGGTTTCGAGAAAGAATAAGAGCAGAGAAAGTATACATGGGGACTTCAGGCAACTCTCTGAATGAGTGTTGCTGTGAAAGGGAGCAGAGGAATGGAGTAGTATCTGGAGCAGTAGCAGACAAGGGAAATTTGTTTTATTTTACTATGACAAGTTGTTACAATATCTTTTCTTGCTGATAGCAATAACATAATTGAGAAGAAAAAACTGATGGACAGAAGGAGAAAGAGACTGCAGTTGCTGGAGTGTGCTTCTTTATTCTGGGGACTCAAATTTTTCTTCATTTCTAGAAAATTATCAGCCTCCTAGTCTTCCAATATTACATTTCCCCAATTCTCTGAATATCTTCATTCCAGAACTCTCATTTGGATTTGGATTTGGTCTCCTTAGTCTATCATACAAATCACAAAAACTCCCTTCAAATTTCCATTTCCTTATCTCTCTGTACTATATTCTGGGTAATTTCTTTAGCTCCACCTTTTGATTCAATAATTCTGCCTTCTACTATGACTAGTTTGTTCTTTGACCCATCTACTGAATTCTAAAAGTCAATATTTTTCCTTTTCACAATTTCTATTTTGTTCTTTTTCAAACTTGCTTGTTCTTTTCTTAGAAGGTCATTTGCTTGTCTTATCATTTCTATCATTTATTTCTATTCATTTTCAGCATTTCTATTTTATGTCTCTTTTGGATCGTTCTGTTTTCTCACAGTCTTGGTTACCGTGTTCCCATTTATTGCATCTGCTGACTCTGCACCACGGTGGGCTTGTCCCTCATGTAGTTTGCAATTTATTTTAGCTCATCTTCAGCAAAAGGTGTTTTTCAGTAGGAGTCCCATGTACCCTTAGTTGTGGAAAGGTCTCCTCAGATACATTTTTATCTTTGCTTCTATTAAATTCAAGGTTTTGGTCTGACCCAAAGATATTTGTTTGTGTAGTTCCTTTACAAAGACCGGTAGCCCTTTGAGTATCTTGAATTGAAGGACTGAGTTCCAGCCCTCAAGCCATGCCTTGTCATGATTAAGCATTAAACTCCCAGCGCACAGCTCCTGAGACCTAAGCCCACAGCACACCTCAGCATCAACTGTAGCTCTCCTTTCTAAGTTGCAGTTTTCTTTTTGTTTGTGAAAACCACAACTTTCCCTTTCTTGCTTGCTTGAATATATACTTTCAAGTGTTTTCTTGACACTCTTTACATTAAACATTTTTATGTATTTGCAATAGGAAAAATGTCCACATAAGTTCAGTCTATCAAATATGGTAAACTCCAAAGTTCAGCATGATGTACTGGTCCCAGAACACTTTGACTGAACTCAAAATTGAAGCTGGCCTCAAAATCCTTCTCAACCTAAGAAGCAACGACCATTGCGTCAGAGTTGGCATGGGAAATGAAAACTTTTCCCGTCCCCATGATGCTACAAAAAACAATTACTATTTTGTCTTTGGGCAATGAAGAAAAGATTCATTAGCAGATCTCCATCAATTCATAGTGAGAATTCCTGATATCCAACCCTTGGCTATGTTTCCTAAAACTAGGGGAGTCTCTAAAAGAGGATCAAAATAACAGTGGAGTGACATTCCCTGAGTGCAGACAGATGCCCCGTCAACGAAGCTGCTTGCTTCCTCCAGTGAGCTTGCACTTTGTGGAAATGCAAACCTAATTTTGTCTTCAGAGTATCAATAAGGATGATGTTTGAGTTTTGTCTTAGAAGAAATTCTGCAGTTTTTTTGTTAGTTTGTTTTTGTTTTTGTTTTTGTTTTGAGATGGAGTCTCGCTCTGTCGCCCAGGCTGGAGTGCAGTGGCACCATCTCGGCTCACTGCAACCTCTGCCTCCCGGGTTCACAAGTCTGCAGTTTTTAAACATTGGAGCATAAGAAGTTACTGATGTTTTTGTGGATTTTATTACTTTTTTTATTTTTTCTTTCTAATCTGAATACTTTTTCTTTCTACTCCTGAATACTTTTAATTTTGAATAGATAGCCCTTTATGTACTGAAAAATTTTATTTTGGGTTAAGAGATTATAATACAGAAACATTTTAATATATGCCTAATATATTTTTACCATCCTTAGCAAAATAGAGAACTCACAATTATCCCATGAATCCTCTATGCTTATAAAGTTGATTTTTAAAAATCTAGAACAGAAATTCTACTTTGCAATATAGCTAATCTCATTCTATTACTTTTAGTATATATCCAAGTCTACTTACAACTTGGATTTTACTGAAAGTGAAAATATCATTATGAGATAAATTATATTGAATTGAGCAATAATCGACATACAAAATAGAAACATTATTTAATGTTTTAAATATAATTACCTCAAACTCCTCCTGTTCATGGATTGTTCAGGTTCCTTCATCTTATAGCTGCATCTACCACTTCCAGTCTTTCTTGGGGCACTGACTTAACCAAAGTATCTGGAAATTCTGAAAGCAATACAAAAACCCATAGGATGAGTAGCCCAGAGCTCATCTTCCCTCCTGCCATCTAGAACCCAAACAAGAGAAAAGTGAAACCACTGCCCAGACACAGAATAAAGTACAAAGTTTCTCCACCCCATTCACAGCACTCCACTCTCTATATACACATGTGTGTGTATACCAAAGGTAAGAGTATTTATAATATATAATAATATATAATGTTCTATATATACATACATTATATTCTACATGGACATATATAAATATATAGAGAGACATGTATATATACATATATAACTTTATAGCATCATTTGACAAACAGTTAGACCTTAGGGACATGTATCTAATTTAAAAAGTAAGTCAGTTATAAATTATTATTTAATTGAAGAAAATTAACTCTATCCATGATATTTCAAGAAAGCATTAATTTCATGTATGGAAAATTGTTCTTTTCATAGAAAGACACTACAAGGCCATTTAGGAGGGTGATTGAACACACAGGCTTTGGTTTCAGCCACTCTGATTCCAAATCTGACTTTACAACTCACAAGCTGTATAACCTTAGATACTTATTAATATTTCTGGGTTTTCCTGTAAAATGGAGCAAATAATAATACCTCTCAGAATTGCGACAAATAAGATAATATATGTAAAGCAAATAAGATAATATATGTAAAGCAATCAGCCATATATCTGGAACGTAGTTAAAAACTAGGAAAGTTAGTCATCATCCTTATCATTTTTAGGAGAGACACACTCTTTAACTCACTATTTTATTTTATTCCAGGCACAAATATCATAATGCTTTTAAAGCAGTACTGAAAATGTAAAGCAAAATCATTGACTAAGAATAACATTACTTGTGCACATTCAAAATAAATGTCTCCTTTAACCTTTTTTTTGTTTTGTTTTGCTCTGTTTTGTTTTTTTGAGACAGGATCTCTCTCTGTTGCCCAGGCTGGAGTGCAGTGGTGCGATCTTGGCTCTGCCTCCTAGACTCACGCAGCCCTCTCACCTCAGCCTCCTGAGTAGCCGGGACTACAGGCGTGTGCCACCACACAAAGTTAATTTTTTGTATTTTTTGGTAGAGATGGGGTTTCTACCAAAAATACAAAAAATGTATGTATTGCCATATTGTCCAGGCAGGTCTCGAACTCCTGGGCTCAAGGGATCCGCTCACCTTGGCTTCCCAAAGTGCTGGGATTACAGGCAAGAGCTACCACCCCTGGCCAGACCTTTGTATTCTAAAGGAATGTCTTTGGACCACATATTTACAATGCTTGTTATCATGAGGTATTAGAGGTGGGTAATCATTTCTGCTCCAAAAAAACAGATAAGTGTCACTGGAATATCACTATCCCAGCTATATGAAAAAATAAAATTTGTGAATAGGATGTGAATATATCTGTGCTTTCATTTGGGTCATCTATGTTTTACAGTTTTGTTTTTGTTTGTTTCTATCTTGTCTATTTTCCAGAAATGGAATTTTACTACACATTCTGCACAATGGCTTGCATTTTGTCTCACTTACCAATACTTTACAGAAATCCCTTCTATTCAACTGATATAACTCCATTTCATTCTCATTAACGGCTACATAATATTCTATTACTGGACAACCACTTTGTCACCAGGTTTTTATTATTTTGCTCTGGGGTTTTGTTTTTCCATTTGCTACTATGAATAATTTCTCAATGTGTTTTCCAGCTATCCAATCTCTGGAAATAAAATTTTTTAAAAAGGAGACTTCTCGGTCAAACAACATATACATTTTAAATTTTAATACATTCTACCAACTAGCCTTCCAAAAGAATCTAAAATTATTCACATTCTATGAACACGAAAATGCTGAAAAGATTTGAAAAGGATCTAGAAGGAGCACCAACCTTGACCAATGTGGGGAGGCGGGGAGAAAATTAAAATTTTAAAAAAGAATAATTAAGCCTGCTATGGTTATTCAACTAACAACACATAAATTGTATTAAAGGTTGTAAATATGAAGACTACACAAACACACGAAAAAGAGAAATATCTGAAATAAGATCACAAAAACATGCAAAAATGTCTTTTGCATGTAGCAGTGTGCTATGCTAGTATAAAGCGTTATTACAGAATGAAAGAGTAGTGCTTAAAATTATATTTCCTTACCACTGCAATCACATAAAACCTATGTTTGGCCTGGCGTGGTAGCTTATGCCTGTAATCCAGCATTTTGGGAGGCCAAGGCAAGTAGATCACCTGAGGTCGAGAGTTCGAGACCAGCCTGACCAACATGGACAAACCCTATCTCTACTAAAAATATAAAATTAGCCGGGCATGGTGGCACATACCTGTAATCCCAGCTACTTGGGAGGCTGAGGTAGGAGAATTGCTTGAACCCGGGAGGCACAGGTTGCGGTGAGCCAAGATTGTGCCATTGCAGTCCAGCCTGGGCAACAAGAGTGAAACTCCGTCTCAAACAAACAAACAAACAAACAAACAAAATCCTATGTTTAAGTATAAATAGAAATATAGTTTATTTGGAGATGGGATTATAATGCATTTGAAATAAAATTATTTTAATGATTAAAATTCTTATATAGGAAATAGATCAAAATGGTATGGTGGTTCTCAATGGGTTTTAATTTTTGACTTACCTGCTTTTTGTATATTTTCTTTCAGGAGCTGTACTATTTGAAAGCTTCTTCTCGATTTAAAATTGCCTACTTGCAGTAGAGGACATCTGTACCATTTGGGGGCTTATTCAAAGTAAGTGGTTCACCTTTACATATTATTGTTGGCTTGTGTGTCCTGATATTGCTTCTGTGACTCGTGGCCAAATACAGCTCTGTTAGGAAGAGACCTCATCTACCTGCTGGCTAGCAAGCACACCGCCAGCTCTTCTCCAAACCTGGCTCCTGCTTTCCCGGCACATAGGTAGATGCTTCCCAGTGCCCACCATGGGAGGTGTGAACCTTGACCAAATTCTAGTAAATGGGATGCGAGCGGGAGTAACCCATGCCATTCCCTGAGAAGTCCACATTAGTCTCCCCACGTGCAATGCTGCAGGCTCTTTTCCCTTCTGCCGGCTGGGTGGAGGTGAGCACCGTGACCCAGGAGGCCTCCCTCATGTTGTTGGGGAGCCCGGATGCTAAAGAGCCCAAGCATGGACAGCCTGTGCCCTGTTGCTGCTTGGAGGAGAGCCACCTGCTGATCAGAAATACTCATTTTTGATCTGATGTGAGCAAGGCATTACCTCTGAAGCTACTGATACTTGGGTATTTGCAAAAAGGAAGGAAGGACGGAAGGAAGGACAGAAGGAAGGAAGGAAGGAAGGAAGGAAGGAGGGAGGGAGGGAGGGAGGGAAAGAAAGAAAGAACTCAAAGAAAGGGAAAGAATAGAGACGTGGAATGACAGCAAATTTAGTTTCAAAGTACAATAAAAGTCAACTTTGAATAATTGGTTTTCTTCAGCTATTCAGCATCTGTGGTGTTTACATAAGAGTAGCTTCCTCCACAGACTTTAGCAACTCATGAATCACTGACCTTATCCTCACTTAGAGACAGCTATGGGGACAAACGAAATGAACATGCCATGGGAGTGAACGGACCTGAACTCCCCTCCTAACTTGTTCAAGGACTCCCGCGGGCTGAGTGCTCACGGTTCGACCTTTATCCCCGCCATGAGAGCTGCTGGGAGTCAGCAGAATATCATTTCCAGGTGTGAGGGCGCTCATCACTATCTTTACTTCCCCCCGATATTCAGATATTACCAAGATCCCTATCATTCTCGGACACATCTTACATTAACTGTACTGACAAACCTGAACAGAATGAGTAGTGCATGTTGGGGAACGTTGTGCATGTTGGAGATGTATGAACCAGGCAGTGCGAAGGCCTGGGTTCCAGGCCCAGCTCTCCAAATAAACAACTCTGAAGCCTGAACAGAGCTCCTCAATCTGCCAATGACTATTATTCATCTCTAAAATAAACATTAAGGATATTATGCGCTACCTACCTCACAGCGTTGTTGTGAAGGGTGAAGTGAGATCACAGGATTAAAGAAAGATGCAAGGTATTGTATTTATTTCTAGAACTGGCAGAAATACAACACTTACTGACTTCCCAGCATTGAAGAAGTTGCCTGAATACTGTTACATATGACTTTTATCTCAAGGATTTAGGAGATCCCTCGAACTGTTCCTTGCTTTGCCTAAATGAGCCTGCCTGTGGTCCATCTCTTCAGCTAATGAGGTGTTGATATAAATCTGGGACCACAACTCTAAACCACTATAAATTCCTATTCTCGTCTTGACCACTAATCCACCAACACATTGGGTCAGAAAATTCAATAGTTACTATGTGAATAGGTCTTCTGCAAACCATTTCCTATTCTTATTGAATGTCCAGGAAACTTCACACACTTATCAGAGGACGTTTTCAACATTACAATGACACATCCCTTTCCCTGGATCATCTTATAGCTGCTTAATGTCCTTTTTCTCTATCATGTTTTTTTGGCCTCTACTCTAACACAGTGTCCCCAAATCCTAAAAATGTTCAACTCACCAACGTCACTGAGAGGCCAGATTTGGAAGGATGCTTGCAAGGGAATGCAGGAAGTTGAAGTTTGGCCATGCTATTAAGTGTATTTAGAGGAACACCGGTTCATGGTCGCATTCCGCATATCTGCTTGATGTATTAACTTCATTCGAGAGTCCAAAATTTCATCTGTAGCTGCTTCCTGTTTCCATTTTTTAAGGAACCACTCAGATCTCTCTGCAACTGCACTATCAGCTTGAGGTGGTGAAGCTGGCTGGGAACTCTCTCCATTTCTTGAAGATTAGAAGGCACTTATTCAACCCTAAGTTTCTACAAGATTCTGACTGATGGACAGGAAAGCAGATGAGTTCCAAGTGTGGTAAAGCTCCCCTTACAGTTTCATGTCCCAGATAGGATGCTCAGAATACTGAATGTGGGGCTCATTCTCACAAAGACTTTGTGAGTAAAAATAGCTTCATAACGGTCAGGCCTGGAGCTGCGTGATGCTCTCTATGGGAATTTCAAAAGGGCATAGTTGGATGCCTGAACTTGGTGCTATTCCATGATGATTAAGGGTAAGAAGAATTAAAAATTCCAAGAAAGCTGAAAGACAACAGAGAGGGAGCGGGAGAGAGATAGAAAAAGGGTAGGAAGGAAAGTCAGCACATCTTAAAACTCCTTGAGGCTAGAAGTTTTGACGTTTACTTGTTTGATCTGAAGGTCTGAATTACACACATCAAAGAGGTGGTGTGTGAGGCTTGGATGCAGTTGGAGCAATGTGCAGCTACTTTTTAAAAGCAGTAAGTAAATGGTGAAGCGCACAGGCACTGAAGCCAGACTGAGTTTTAGTCAAACTCAGTCCGAAATTCACAGAGTGACCTTAAGCAGATTACTTAAGCTCTGTGCCTCAGTTTCCTTCTCTGTAAGGTGAAGAATATCAGCAGGCTTATTTTGTAGAAGATTAAACTGATTAATGCATATAAAATGCTTAGAACAGTGGCTGACACACACAAAGAGAGCTATGTGCATGTTTTCACCTCTTTCCATCATCACTGTAATACCACACTGAGATACCATCTTACAGCAGTCAGATGGCTCTTATTAAAAAGTGGAAAAATAACAGATGGTGGTGATGATGTGGTGAAAAGGGAATGCTTACACATTGTTGGTGCAAGTGTAAATTAGTAAACCTCTAAGGAAAAGAGTATGGAGATTTCTCAAAGAAATAAAAATAGAACTACCATTCAATCCAGCAGTCCCACTACTGGGTACCTACCCAAAGGAACAGAAATCATTCTATGAAAGACACCTGCACCCATATGATTATTCACAATAGCAAAGATATAGAATCAACCTAAGTCCCGAACAATAGATGGTTAAAGAAAATGTGGTATATATACCATGGAATACTACTCAGCTATAAAAAAGAATGAAATAATGTCTTTTACAGTAACATGGAGGGAACTGGAGGCCATTATCTTAAATGAAATGACTCAGAAACAGAAGGTCAAAAACTGCATCTTCTCAGTTATAAGGGGGAACTAAACAAAGTCTACACATAGACATAGAGTGAGAAAACAATAAACACTGAAGGCTCAGAAAGGTAGGAGGGTGGGAGGGGGTTAGGGATGAGACATGACCTAATTGACACAATGTACACTATTCAGGTGATGGTTACACTAAAAGCCCAGACTTAGCCATTATGCAATATATCCATGTAACAAAACTGCACTTTTTTTTTTTTTTTTTTTTTTTTTTTTTTTTTGAGACGGAGTCTCTCTCTGTCTTCCAGGCTGGAGTGCAGTGGTGCAGTCTCGGCTCACTGCAAGCTCCGCCTCCCGTGTTTACGCCATTCTTCTGCCTCAGCCTCCCAAGTAGCTGGGACTACAGGTGCCTGCCATGACGCCCGGCTAATTTTTTGTATTATTAGTAGAGACGGGGTTTCACTGTGTTAGCCAGGATGGTCTTGATCTTCTGACCTCGTGATCCGCCCGCCTCGGCCTCCCAAAGTGCTGGGATTACAGGCGTGAGCCACGGCACCTGGCCCAAAACTGCACTTGTTTTAAATCTATAAAAATTAAACTAAACTAAAATAAAAATGTCTGCTACCCAAAGCAGTCAACAGATTCAATGAAATCCCTATCAAAATACCAATGACATTCTTCACAGAAATAGAAAAAACAGTTCTAAAATTTGTAATGAATCACAAAAGACAATATACAAAGCAATCTTAAGCAAAAAAGAACAAAGCTGAAGGCATCACACTATCTGACTTCAAAATATACAAAGCTATAATAACCAAAACAACATGATCCTGACATACAAACAGACAAATAGACCACTGGAACAGAACAGCGAGCTCCAAAATAAATCCACAAGTCTACAGACAACTGATTTTTGACAAAGGGGCCAAGAACATCCAATGGGGAAAGGGCAACCTCTTGAATCAATGGTGCTGGGGAAAATGAATATCCACATGCAGAAGAGTTAAACTAGAACCCCATCTCCCACCATACAAAAGAAACAACTCAAAATGGATTAAAGGCTTAAATGTAAGACCCAAAACTATAAAACTTCTAGAAGAAAACTTAGGGGAATCACTACATGACATTGGTCTAGGCAAGGATTTTTTTGGATAAGATCTCAAAAGCACAGGCAACAAAAGCAAAAACAGACAAATGGGATTACATCAAACTAAGAAGCCTCCTGACAGCAAAGAAAACAATCGACAGAGTGAAGAGAAACCTACAGAATGGGAAAAAATATTTGCAAACCAGACATCTGACAAGGAGTCAATAACCGGCCGGGCGCGGTGGCTCAAGCCTGTAATCCCAGCACTTTGGGAGGCTGAGA